CGTGCCAAGACTTGGGCACTGGGGCTCAAGTTGCACGACCCATATGCGTTTGGGTCGTTGGAAGTCTTCAAGTCGCGGCTCAGACAAACGTTTGAACCGCCTAGAGCTGAGTTCAGGGCTCGAACCGAACTCTTGAAGCTCAAGCAGGGTAAGCGTGATGTGCACGCTTACGCTCAACATATACGACATCTCACGAGTTGTATAAGTTCCAATCCGGTGGATGAACACACGTTGGTTTCGGTGTTCATGCAGGGTCTTGCGGATGGTCCCGTCAAGACTCACCTGTTCCGGCTTGAACTAGATTCACTAGAACAAGCCATTTCCATTGCGGAGCAGGAAGACTTCAGTCTGAGACAGGCTCGCGCCAGCTCGACATCATATCGTCAACCGAGACGATATGACAACGGAGGTCCAGAGCCGATGGAACTCTGTTATGTAGAGAGCGAGAAGGCTCGCTCTACAGGCTACAAGAAGTTGCAGAGATGCAACAGATGTCAGAAGACAGGACACTACGCTTACGAGTGTAGTGCCCCTCGTCCAGTGTCTCGCGACACTGGGCGTAGTGACCGTCCACCCATGAGAAAGGGGCAGGGACGAGGGTCCGCAGTTGGTGCAAAGACGCAACAACGGGATGGACCGTCAAAAAACGGACAGGATCAGTAGGTGCGGAGCACCCTACTGATCCAGCAACGTCAAGAGAATTTGTAGGCCTCTTGATGAAGGTTGCTCCCAACACACAAACGTTGTGCGTTGCTGCTCTAGGTAATGAGGTCTCACTCATTACCTTGAAACTCGAAGTGACGAATAAGTTGTCCCTTCGAGCTCTAGTCGACTGTGGGGCGTCCAACAATTTTGTGCGACGCCAATCGCTAGAATATGGTCACTTTAAGTTCAGTGAATGTGACACACCTCCTACGAGGATGAGGGTACGTCTTGCGACAGGCGCATCCGTAACCGTCATGAAGCCTATAGTGAAGATCCACTATACGCTAGAAGATACCCAATATGACGATGACTTTATCGTATTGGATTTGGATGACAAGTTTGATGTCATCCTTGGAATACCGTGGCTTAGAAGGTACGAACCACGGGTAAACTGGCAACATCGGACAGTAACGATGCCTGCCGCTTGTTCATCAGATGGCCATTGATGAACGTTTTAAGGCGTCCACAAGCGTGTGGATGTACTACTAGTGAGTGCGATGGCCTCACTTGTGGTACGGTCGTTAGTACGACTGCACAAAACCTTAGTGTAACAAACGGTTACACTTCGGAGCAAAGTTTCGGCGGCTGTGAGGAAACACAGGCTGCGCCGAAGGTCCACCACTCGAATAAGTCGAGTGGACCGGGACAAAGATGTATCCCTAGCGGGGAACATCTAGAAGAGTAACCATCGATCGCTCAGGTTAAGCGAAACGATAATCCTAGATCGACTGGAGAGTCTTTCGTAGAGGATCTCGCTGTGGTTGCGCAACCCCAGCTAGAGGAAATCAAGGGCATAAGTCCTGATGTTACAGATACGGCGGAAATAAGTTCCCCGAAACCCGCGGGAATAAGTCCCCGGGAAGCCGAAGGAATAAGTCCTTCGAAGCCTGAGGGAATAAGTCCCCAGGAAATGACAGAGACATTGAATGTCATAGTCAATAACGGATCAAGTGTAGGCGCTTACACACTTAATCTGATTGCGCCTCCGAAGTTGACTTCGGAGATCACTCAGTTGCCAACGCTCTAACATAAAAGGTTATTGCGTGATCTGCGTAGTGGCAAAGTCAAGCAGATCTGCATACTCGTCGCTGACGACGAGTGTGTAACCGACATAAGGTCAGCTAACAGTGTTTACTGAGAACGAGAGAGTTCTCAGTAGTTCATCGATGGACGAGAGTGTCCTCGATATTAAGGCACGAGTTGAGCGATATGACTCCCAATCGTGGGAATCGCTCAAGAAAAATCCTCTCTATGAAGATTTGGTTGAATTCAAGGATGTATTCCCTGAAACTGTTCCGTGCGAATTACCGAAGGATAAAGGTATTCGACACGAGGTCGAGCTTAAACCAGGCTCGAAGTACTGTGTCATGAAGCAGTGGCCACTGCCCCGTGAACAAGTACTTGCGATCGACAAGTTCTTTGCCGATCGTTTAGCTGCGGGCCATGTGAGGGAATCAACTTCCCCACATAGCTCTCCGACCTTCTGTGTGCGAAAAGCAACAGGAGGGTGGCGGATAGTGCACGCGTTCAACAAATTGAACGCTGCAACGGTACCGGCTCAGACGCCGATACCGAGGAAGGACGTAATCATTGATGGTATGTCAAAGAGTACCATCTTTTCGTCCATGGATTTGATGGATGGCTTCTATCAAATCCTTATGCGAGAACGGGATATACCCTATACCGCAGTGAGCACGCCTAGCGGCATGCTCTGGGAATGGCTAGTAATGCCACAAGGGCTTAGTTATGCCCCTGCCACGTTCAACAGATGTGTATCGCATCTATTGAGACCAGTACGAGAATTCGCGCCGAGTTATTTCGATGACGTATTCATCCATAGTCGAGCTATGGATGGAAAGTCGGACGTTGAGGTTCACAGGTACCACGTCCGACAGGTTCTTACAATCATGCGAAAGCATCAATTGTATGCAAACCTCAAGAAGTGTATATTTGCAGCAAGCGAAATACCACTTCTTGGGTGCATCGTTGGTAAGAACGGTGTACGTCCTGATCCCGAAAAGATCAAGGCGATCACCGACTGGCCTGTGCCGGTTGATGTCAAAGGTCTTCGAAAATTCCTTGGGCTAGCGGCGTATTTGCATAAGTATTCACGCAATTACGCCGAGATGACTGTGCACCTCTCTCGTTTGTTGAAAAAGAACGGGAGGTGGTTATGGAACGCTGAATGTCAGCGCTCCTTTGATGGTATCAAGCAGAGCTTGATACAATCCCCAGTCCTAGCAATAGCCGATCAGGACAGGCCATTTCATGTGGTCTGTGATGCCAGCGATTTCGCAATCGGCTGTGCATTAATGCAGTACGACCTAGAAGGCGTTGAACGCGTCGTCTGCTATCAGTTGCGTCAGCTGCAACCAGCTGAGCGGAACTATCCAGTGCATGACAAGGAGCTCCTTGCCATGAAGTATGCACTCGAGAAGTTCAGAGTCTATCTATTAGGAGATAGACCCTTCGTTGTTTACACTGACCATGCGTCATTACGCACGGCAGTGAACAGCCCGCACCTTTCACAACGAATGGCGCGGTGGTTGTCATTCTTTGCAGAATACAACTTTACGGTCGAGTACAAACCAGGACGACTTAATGTCGTCGCTGATGCACTCTCACGTCGTCCCGACTTTGAAACAGTCGCGAAACCCAACAGTGAGACAGTCACTGTTGCGGTTATGACGTCCTCAGTCCCATCTACAACGTTGTATGATGATGTGAGGCGGGCATACGCCCAAGATGGTGAGATTGTGAAGTTGTTGACACATCTCTCCCAACCATCCCGAGAATCGTTGAAACGATTGTCGTCTGCGTATCGATCTGCATCAGATCGATACACTACTCGTAACGGTTTACTGTATTATACAGCCGTTTCTGGTGACACACCACGTGTTGTCATTCCAGATGATACTGATCTGCGTTTACGGATCATGTTCGAGTATCACGATGCTCCTATAGGAGGACATCGTGGCCGAGAGAAAACATATCTCACGGTAAGTCGAGACTTTTACTGGCCCCGCCAGTATCAGTTTGTGCGAAAGTATGTTCGCGCATGCGAAGTCTGTCAACGAGTGAAGTCAAGTCCTTCACTGCGTGCACCTTTACAGCCTCTACCGGTTCCGGCTGAGTGCTGGGAATCCATCTCAATGGATTTCGTCTTCGGGTTACCCAAAGACGCACGCGGGAATACGGGTATTCTCGTATTTGTTGACAGATTCAGCAAAATGATCCACCTTGTGGATGTGCCCGAGTCAATCACAGCAAGTGGCTGTGCTTGTGTCTTTATCGACACCATCTTCCGACTTCATGGGTTGCCCCGTGAACTCGTATCAGACAGAGATCTACGCTTCACTGCTGATTTCTGGCGTTCCGTGTTCAAATCACTCGGAACGCGCTTGAAGATGTCGACATCTGATCATCCAGAGTCAGATGGTCGGACGGAACGAGCCAATCGTGTCCTAGAAGAGATACTTCGAGGATACGTACACTCCTTTAAGAGTTGGAGTGAGTTTTTGCCAATGGTAGAGTTTGCCATTAACAACTCGGTGCATGCGTCCACGACACATACACCGTTTTACGTGAATGGCTTACGCCATCCGCGTGTACCCACCTTACTCGAGTGTAACTCTGGTTTAAGGGGGGGAGAGACTCGCGCGAGCAAAAGCCGATTTGGTTCACGCTCATCACGCTCTGACGATGAGGTCATTGCGTTTGATGCCGATATCGACAACATCGATATCGAAGAAGATGATGCCAGTGAGAGCGAGGAAGCCCTCACTGAAGAAAAGATTGATTTTGCTGCAGTGCACTCACAGCGCACTGAATCTAACGAGTCATCAGATGAATTCATACTGGCTCGTGAAACGGTAGTCCGTTTCGTGCAAGACTCCATCGCCGAAGCGGTGGATAAGCAAAAGCAAAACGCTGACAAGAATGGAAGGGCAAGCACTCTTTTATTTAATAAAGGTGACTTAGTCCTACTGTCTACGGTTAACCTACCAAAGCACGTAGTGACTAACGTGGGTCGTAGTAAACTTCTACCCAACTACATCGGTCCATTTCGTGTATTGCATCGCCTAGGCAGCGCGCATCCCACGTTTTACGTTGGTCGGCTTAAGCCGTACCATCAGTACGCTGTTTTTTTCGATGAAGAACGCCCTTGAGCTCAAGCATCTCACAGAGAGCCTTGTGCTCCCGTTGGTTGCCATCAACAAGGGTCTGAAGAGCACTTATCTCAGCCCGAGGCCGATCAACATCCACACGAGCTACCCTTAACTCGTCACGAAGAGATGTCAGAGCTCTCTCGTTCTCAAGCTGAGCAAAGGCAAACTCAGCTCGATGCTTCAAGACAGTGTCCGCCAGTTGAAGACGCCTGTCCCGCTCATGCTCAAGGTCGTCGCGTAACACCAGAGCTACGCGATCAAAGAGGCTCTAGGAGTTACACGCTTCCCCACGATAGTTTGGAGAGCGTCTTCCCTCCTCCTCCACCTCCATTAGAGGACTCTCGCGGTGGCCAGCGCTATCTGGTTGAGCAGCTGTTGAACCACCGCGATGTGAACGGACGTCGGACGAGTTACCTCGTCCGGTGGCGCGGCTATCCCCCGTCCTGGGATACTTGGGAGCCCCGCTCCCAACTGATGGTTGACGTACTGGGTCTGGTCGAGCAGTACGACGCGGTACATCCTGTGCCGCAGAAGGACCGCTGGAGAAAGTCTTCCCGGCACGGTCGTAAAGGGATTTCAGGTTGTCAATCCCTTCGTACATCTCACTAGAGATACGTACGCGCCACCACGGGCTAGTAAGGAGGTAAGCCTCCTTAGGTGCGCAGGCAGAGTTGTTTACAAAACAAGGGCACGGGTCTCCCCAGGAAAGACAGGGTAACCCACCCTCCTTAGACAGACGATGCAGCTTGTAGCGTGCACCTGTAGGGGTTCTCTTTTCAGACTTATCACGAGCTTTGATAAGTTTGTCTTTCTAAACGTCACGACCTACATACTCAAGGTTATGGATGTAAGCGTTCCACGCTTGAAGCAGTGAGGGACCATCACGTTTGTGATTCCCACTGTACCATCGATGCTTAAAGAAAGCATTGATGAAGAACACATTCTCAGCGCGATAGTTTTTTCGCACTAAGGTCAAGGTGATGGATCCTTGACGAATCGAATAATCGTGTTCGATAACGATCACTTGTTGTCGCCGACAAGCGATCCATGACTGACTTTGGAGGCAGCCATGCCTTCTTCTCGGGAGCGAGACGCAACACACTGCGGTCCCGCTCTTCTTGCGACGTGCCGACAGAAGTACTGGCACCTCGCTGCGAAGTGGTGTCAATAGGAGAACCGACACCACTGTGAGCGCCCGAGTCTTGCGATCTCGAGCGCCTTCGCTTTGGTGATGGTTCATCTGATTCGTCAGATGAACCGAAGATGCTACGACGAGTAGCATCATCCATGCCACGCTTAGAAGGCGGCTTGGTTTCGAACGCCTTCGATACAGATCCCTCTTCTGTATCAGGAGAGTATGAGACACCGACCTCATACTCTGTGAAGACATGAGTGTCTTCATGACGAGCGCCTGCATCACCAGGTGATACAGGCTGAGACGCTTTAGCAACCGATGACACATCCGTTGCAGCGGTTTCTGCTTCGGCGTCCGCACAGAGACGTGCGGACGCGCTCTCGGCGGCCTTGCTCGCGCATCGCATGGGCTTGTTAACCATGCGATGAAATGTTGGGAAGTGGACTCGGACCAACAAGTGCAAGCCCCGTCCCAAATGATTTGGGACGAGTATCCATTTAGTCAATCAGTCACTAAAGTGACTGATGGTTAAGGGGGGGTGATGTAACGGGGTGAATCGTTACATAACAATTTATAAGAAATTGTTAATAGAATATAACTATAAGAGTTAAATTCTCAGAATACATTGTCACAAGGACAAATATTCTGTAGCACTTACGAGTAGTTCCTAATTGGTTGATATAGGCCATTATATCAACCAACGAAGACGCGCCACGACAGACGCACGCAATGAGTGGTGAGCAGATAATTGATTTACACATTTGTATTTAGACATAGTTAGATGAAGATAAATAGTGATTTTTTTTTATTAAAGACATTAACTATACTAAATACAGTTCTACTTTTTACTTTAACCAAGTACTCGCTTCTTCTTACCGTCTTCCTCTGCACGTACGAGTGTACGTGAAGTTACGAGGCACCGCCTTATTCTGTCATCAGAATAAGTAGCTTGTACTGTCACCAGTACAAGCTTCAGGGTGCCCCGTTCCATGAGAGCTCCAACTACAGCAAGCAGTGCTGTCTGTGCCCGGGATGCCAAACCGCCTTTCATTTATCGTTGTTGCTGCCCATAATCGACGCTTTTTCTGGCTTGTATCGCTTGGATTCACTTCTACAAATTACGATACATTTATAGTATTAAACAATTTTTTGCTGGTTTTTATAGGTAGGTAACTACGATGGCTAGCCAAATTGATAAAAATAGGCTTCCTTTTCGTAACAGTATAAATACACATTGGCGAAATGAAACAATAGTCCTTCATTTGGGACAAAGACAACGAAGCAGTAAGACTAAGTCTCATATGTCGGCCATGCTTTTAGCCACATATAGGTCCATTTAAACGATGTAGCAAAACAGCTCTGTATGTTCCCTCTTCACTTCTGCGTGTCAGCACCATGCAGTTGACAATTACAAGGTCGCACTAAGGTTGAGCTCACAGTGCACTATGTCGAGTGTCGAGACGTATGATGACAACACGGTAAATTATGCACATTCCTCCATTATCATTGGTAAAGCTTGTAGCCCCGAAACAATTGAGCATAGATTCAGCTATACAGAACAAATGGTACTTTTACTGCGCGATCGCATGCTGGTCTCTTTAGACACTAGCTAGGTTCCTATGTCATACAAAGCGGTATCTTTTTGTAGCTTGCTTTTGATGTTCTTATTTGCGGAGCCAACTCAAGGCCAGATGCCTTCGAAGGAGCTACTCGATCGCGGCTACTTTATCGTGCCGTCATGGTAGTATTACCCAACTAGGCGACAAAAACCTCAGTTCATACCAATAGAAAATGTCTCGTCACCTCTACTTAACTTGTCTGCGAAGTCGGCGTTTTTAAATTTAATTCTTGGGTTCGGGTCGTTTCATTCTGTGTGGGAGGTCGTGTGTGTATCGACGGTTCGACACTGTCGAGTACTCGGGATCGGAAAAGGTTCTGCATATTTTTTCGAATGAAGAAGAATGCTGAGGATCATCTCTCGATCGAGGAAACTGCACGATAGTAAGACGCGCGATGGCTTGCACGTTGCGCACTTGCAATAATGTGTCTATCGTTCAGCATGCGCTTTTACTCACTTGACAATATACTAGTTACAATTGGGAATCACCTGGTGCGACCAGGTGATTCCCAAATGTGGCTCAAGCGATTGAAGAAAATAGAACGAAGCGATCCAAAAGGTTTAAAGATGAAAAGGTCGCTTTTGTCACAGACATGTCTGTTTCGGGGCAGTGACAACCGAGTCCTTTCCTATTTGCTATAATTTTGGATGTTAGTTTTCTGATTGGGGGATAAACACTTACTTTATTATTTAATAAATTCGCACAGTTAATATCATATTTTTGGTTGGCCAGCATGCGCCCGTCATTACCAGTAGATCGATCTGTAACGTCTTCAGTGGCGCTTCATCTTTTGCAGTGCCAGGCTAGAGTCACCTATTCGTTCGATACTTTCTTGTCCTTTAGCTGAAAAGGACTTGATACCTTCTCATCCTTCTCTGAAGGTGTCTCTCGTAGGGTGTAAAGTTCTACTGCAGGTCGTTCGTCTAGTTGCCGGAATGAGCCACAGGGTTGCTGAAAAGCAGCAGTGTGTGCGATGTTCCAGCTCTGGATAAGCTCCTCAGGCGTCAGCAATAGCAAATATCTGGAGATACTGTGTGGAGTTCTTGCTGCAATTGGCATGGACCATGAAAAGCTCCAGACATTCAACAATCACATGCTACGTGATAGATAGCCATTTGAAATGGGTAGTAGCAGAAAAGACATGTAGCAGGTGTCTAACTGATGATGACCCATGCCAGGCCGTAGCTCATTATAGTGTGTGCACGTAGCGTCTTGCTCGCTCTACGCTTCTTTTGTACGATCATCACTTGTAAGCCTGAAGTGCAGTCTGCACAATTAAAAACCAACAAGGCCTCATTTCACATTGTCTTCACGTTACGGGAACCCATTCGAGGTGGTAACATTCGGCGGCTGAGCCATACCTGCACCGCCTCGAGCGAACTGCTGCTGCCGTCCTATCGGCACACCCATCATCTGGTGCTGCGTCACCATACTCATCGGAGGCTGTATCATCATCGTCTGAGGCTGCATCGGCATCATTGGAGAATGTGTCTTCAACTGCATCGGCATCTGACGCAGCTGTGCCTGAATGGGCATCTGATGCATCTGCATATTTGAATACACTTGGTTCGGCATGCCCGTGGCCCCATCAATGGTCTGGAGCTGCTTCATATGTAGCTGGGTCATGCTGCTAGACACATTCCGCTGCTGCTGTCCTTGCAACGGCATGGCCATCACAGGCGTCGGCTGATCGGGACCACGAGCCTTCTGCATGTCGTTTAACGACCGCTTCTCTTTCGGGTTCGCAGACAACGCCTTCTTCTTTTCACTCGCTAGAGCGCTAAAGTCAATGATATTGTTTTCTGGTAGCATGGTCGTTTGGAACGCATCACCTCGCGAATCAGACTGTAACTGGTCGCCAGGATAAGTAGCTGTAGGCGCAGTGTCACGTAATTCGACGGACGACTGCGACAGAGCGGCATCTTGAACAGAGGCTGAAAAGCTCAACCCTGCAAGTTCTTGCAATGGGTTTTGGCATAGCGGTCCATCGAAGACCGAAGACTGCACTTCTCGTCCAGAACATCCAGATGTGGCCGGCTGCGCCATTTGCGGGACGTCCAAGTCGACGCCAAGCAAGTCCACACTTACACTGCTAGCAGCTGCAACCGCCTTCTTCTTAGCGCGTGCTTTCGCCTTGCGCGTACTCGTCCTACGAGAAGCAGCTTCATCCTCTGAAGATACAATCGACTGGCGCCGCGTGTGCGACTTGTTGCCGCCTTTGTCGTTCTTGTTCTTCTTGGCCTTTGCCTTTTTCTTTGTCACCTTCTCTTGGTTCGCAGAAGACAGAGACGGCAGCTTTGCCGAGTCACACGAGAGCGAAGAGTCCGCCGACGCATTGTCCGTGCTGCAACCACCTTCACTTTCACTCTCCTCCGAGTAAAACCCCCCACGTGTCTTGGACTTCTTCGTCTTTTTCTTTGTTTTCGTCTCCCCTTCCCTCGAACGTCGCCGCGCGTCCACCGCCTCAGTCGCTGACGACTCGGCACACGACTGCGCGTCTCGCTCTTCCTCCCGCTCCCTTGTACTATCACTCTCCTGCTTCTTCTCCTCCCTCTTCGCTCTAGTCTTCTTACTCTTCCTCCTTCCTTTGCTCTCCTTCTTTGTATACCGACTCGACTGGCCATAACCATCGAAAGACTTCCCACTCAAGTGACACCCGTCGATTCTGGCTGGCAAGGGGGTACTCGTGTACCCCCTGCTATACTCCGCATACACCTTCGGTCTCTCGGTCACAAAGTCATTCTGATACCCTCCAGTGTAACCCGCCAAGCCTCCACCACTAGCAGACGCCGCCGCCGCGCCATTTGTGGTGTACATAGACGTGGACGAACTCCGGATATCCGCCATCCAGTTCG